TGAAGGATGAAAACGATACACCCACAAATTTCTCAACGAAAGCCACTTCCGAAGCCATAGCAGACCAAGTTCAAAGCCGAATGTGCGCCAATAATTTTCAAATGTCATCGATTAAAACAAATCGCAAAAAAATAACGGCAGATGAGGGGGGTTTTCAGTCTACGCATATATGCAGAGAAGTGCAACATTTTGACGTTAAAGTTTTTATTTCGTCCGCAGGGGTTTTGCAGAAAGATACATTGTGCTTCTAGCCGCTGGCTCCATCCTGTGTATCAATCCGTGAAGATCTTTCTTGGCGCTCATTTCAACTGTGCACTTTGTTTCTGTGCTCGCTGGGACCCTCTCGGTTTTTCTTGGGTCTACATCCCCCTCTTGGCTGCATCATACCAGAAGTCTGCGTAAACTTCACTGTTATTTGGATGTGCTGTGTAGATGACGCTGTCCTTAGCTGTGAGTTCTGTCCAGAAAAGCATGACGAGTGTTTACCAGGTAGTTCGGAGGTACTTATCTAAAGAAATGGAGGAACTTTCGGAAACACTTTTTTACGATACCGATGGCCAGGCTGAAGTGCTCAGTTGTGAGAACGACGATTTAGTTGCCCGATTCACCTTCCGGATTTCACCCAAGAAGGGGCCATATTCACATGCGGAGTTCACATTCACTGTAAGTTTATATGTAACTGTGCACATGAATTACGCGGAGTTAACTGAGTCACCTGAGTGTTATTTGAAGCTACATTAAGCTCTTCAACTGGATTGGTGTCCACTTACACGTCATCAGCCATCAAACGGTCGTAACCCGTTTGCACTCTGCCGAGAGGATATTGGGGGTACGAGCCTAAACTCAGGGTTGGCTAATGCTCGGCTCAGACTAACAAGGCGACTTTTGAAGCTTTCCCTGAGCAAACGTTAACAACGGAAAGAACGAAAGATATACCAGAAATTGGCTGGTATGAGGCGTGATAACCCTCACACCATTCACCTGCCTGTCATGAAAGCTTAACCAAGATCTGTGACATGAACCAACACGACCTACAGTTCTGGTTAGGCCTTATCTCGGAGATTCTAACCCGAATAAGGTCATCAACACAGATATATCCATCCAACACATTGCATTAGGTTTTGCCGATGCTTCAGCCCTAGAAGCAAGCATGGCAATAATATAATCACATATAGAGCCATTTTGAGGAATACGGCAGGATCCCCTTTTCTTGAAAATATGAAACAGGAATGGTTTGAATATGTACGTGCGGCTACATGCATTAAGGTTGTATAAATCCGCATTTTTCTGGTCTAGGCAACCAGTGACACTGCACTCAGAATGCATCTACCTCAGACAGACAGTCACAAAAAGATTGTGAATTAATGTATTCGATGGTCTTGACCACGTGACACCGACTTTTGACGGATTATCGGTGGGTTCCTCTTCGTTTATGACGGACAAATTCTTCTAACATAGAGAAACGTATCATTTGTTACCAGCCCGTCTGTTTCAGTGGACTGCATGAAGGCGCTGTGAACGAGCCAAATTGAAGACCGGATGAGCTTCCGAAGCAAAACGCACGCTGTATTGTTTGGCAATCTCTAACAGTGATGTATTCATGTAACCATAAATAGGTTGCGTACTAAAACCTTCAGACGAATCCTGTACTTGTCCTGTACTGGAAACCAAAATTGAAGTTATGGACTTTCAGATTCAGCTGTCACTGATAGGCTCAGTCTCGTCTCTCGGCTATACTACTTCAGACAGTAAAGTCTTCATGATACAGTGTCCTCCAGTCAGATACGTTTCCACGTCAGAAAAATACTCGGCTTCAGCAAAGTAAGTTAAGGAATACTGTAAGCAAAGATGCTGTCCACCACCAGCGGAGTTCTCAACTAAGTGTTGAACTCCACGAGACCGAACATCGTTTGCCTCTGCATTAAGTTCCACTTGACCAATTCAATGACTTTTTTTAGCTTCCCGAAATTTTCTCTTTGGGGTACAAGTCAGAGACATGGTTGAATTTTAGCCATTAGCACTGCTGTCAGACTATGTAGATACATAAAAATACCGACATCCTAAAAATGGTGTGTTGATTCAGTCGAATATGTGCTGCTGGGCTGGGGTAAATCAGTGTACAATGTATTCCCTCCGTCACTATCGACTTACAAGTGACTGCATACTCGTTCTCTTTCATTGTTCGGTCATTCGTGCAGTACTACAGTGATAGGTTCACCAAAATCGAACCTTTATTCGACGGATTTTTTATCACTTCTCTGTTATCGGGGGTCATTCACCGAGCGGGTGAATACCCGCATGTTTAGTCGCTCATCGATTGCCATCATAAATGTGGAAAATCAGAGGCCTGAACACTTCCTGCATCCATTTTGATGGCATCATATGTATAAGCTGGTAAATACGAGCCCCTACGCCACACGAGGCAACATAGTCTTAAGGGCATAAGCGGCTCTTATGCGTGGCATTACGGCTCGTTACCGGATGGTGGATCGTTGAGATCGAGTTACTTCAGTAGTAACGGCGCAAAATTACTTGTCGGAAGGCCTATGGTTCGAACCCAGTCTTCTTTTCGACTGCTGTTTTGTAGACTCGGGCAACTGGCACTATCTCAACCCTCGTGCTTCCTTCCGGTCACCTGAAAGCTATGCACCGAAAGCGTATTACAGCTAAACAAATACTGTTATTCATTTATTGACGAGCACAATTTTACGCCACATGCTTTAAACAGATCCACGTTGATTTTGAGACCTGTTCTTTGTTTAGAGACACGCTTTGTCGTGGATTGAAGACATTAGAACTGATCAACTAAAATGCTTACCTGATGTAAAATAAAATAATAATCGTTCAGCTGTAGCACCCTTTCGGTGCCTAGCTGCCATGCCACCCGAAGGAGGCACGAGGGCTGGGATACTGCAAGGTCGCCCAAGCCTAGACAGGGGAAGTCGAATGGCAGAGGTCGGGTTCGAACCACGGACCTTCCGGTCAGTAAATTCGCGCTCTAACCACTTGAGCCATTTCGACCCCACCTGATGTAACAAAGGAGACAGTGTTCATCTGTCTCCTGTCGTCCGTCACACCTGACTCGTTTACATGAGAATAAATATGGTGGGGCTTTCGTAGAGTATTCCTCATACTTAGAGTGCTGCTATTCGTGGCATGATGGCCTTCGAGTGTCTTGAGAACTTGCCCATTGAAAACTGCATTACAGCTGTATTCATTCTTGCTGAGAACTCTATTAACGTGGTGTAATTGACAATACGCCGGGAGCAGTATACCAATGAACCATTCTTGTAATGCGTCAGTGTAGTTTACCGAAGTTTACAATGACTGACCACAAGTTCAGTAAGTTTATATGTAGCACAACTTTCTCACTGGCTTTAATAAAGTTTTCATTGCACGTGAGCAAAAGCTTCCTATTTTCGCTTATGTGGAATAGATGAGGCTTTCGAAAATATGGGCGGGTAGCTAGCTGAATGCAACCAATCCTTTACCAGTTGCTACCCAGTGTCAGTCATTTAGCGTTCGACTACTACTGTATACTGGGGCGAGGTGGCCCAAGTGGTTAGAGCGCGAATCTACTGACCGGGAGGTCCGTGGTTCAAATCCGACCTCTACCACTCGAGTTCCCCTGTCTAGGCCTGGGCGACCTGGCAGTATCCCAACCTTCGTGCTTCCTCTGAGTGGTATGGCAGCTAGGCACCGGAAGGGTATTACAGCTGAACTACTGTATACAGCTGACGCCTAACACCAGTGTAACCGATGACACTGTTTAAAGATAAAAAGAAAATCGTTCAGCTGTTGTACCCTTTCAGTGCCTAGCTTCCACCCAACAGAAGGAGGCACGAGGGCTGGGATGCTACCAAGTTGCCTAAGCCCAGATGGGAGCAGTCGAGATGCTAAGGTTGAGTTCGAACGACGAATCTTCCGGTCCATGAGCTGGCGCCTTAACCACCGAGCTGACGGTTTATCGAAGTGCCACATTTGGGTTCCGGTTAGCCTGCGGTGCGTGAGGATACAGACTGTCAAACACGGTTCATATACCAAATCGTGTGAATGTCCGGATCACTGTTCCAAATGAATGTACTACCAGGAGTTCCTCCAATAGTTAACCAAGGAATAAGCAGTGTCAGTCAAGTGGAGCTTCGGTGACAAAGCGTGTCGCTAAACAAGGAACAGGCCTCAAAATCTATACAAGGACCGGTTTACAACGCTCCTCGACGATGATATATCGCCAACGAACGAGCATGCATACCATAAGTAGAATGTGTTGCTTTGTACAGCTTAGGGACTAGTATTCATCAGCTTATACGCATATTGTTGTTGATATGGGTACAAAAAGTGTTCTACCCCATGATATTTTGCACTTTGGTGGTCACCCTTTTAATGAATGATTCACTGTTAGTCACAAATCAAGTACTTTGGTGGTGAATGTGAGCTTAGCGCACATATTTGCTTTTTCGAGCGTGAATACAATACGTTTCCATTGTTTTGTTACTCTTTTGCTGCTAACCTTTTGGCAAAAAATGCATCACTTTGTAAATGACCATGATGATCGGCCATCACTAAGAGACCTGACGGATGCTACCAAATGAATCGACATTTTTCGTCCGCCTTGTTTCTGGAAGGTAGACGGGGAATTGACTCGGAAAGCCAGACCATAGGTATATGATGTATATGAGAACACTAACCGGACCGATTTTGGCCTCATGACACTAGTATTTGTTGTGACCTTGATGCACCCAACGAAACAAGTCTACGTGAAGTGGCACTTTAAAACCTTATGGCTCACCAAACAGAGAAGACCAATTTTGGTAGAGGTATGTAGCTATATGACACCGGCTAGTAGACAAATTCTAGTAACTGGGTAAGTAACGATTATGGATGTCAACTTATTTTGTGTACTTGCCTAACGTAGACGGCCTACTGCGTGAGAATTGGTGGGCGTTAATTCTGTCCCGGATCGTTGCCGTCTGCGACTGACGATAGGCAGCGTGATCGGTATAGCGCGCTGACAGTGCCAATAAATGGCGTGCAATGCCAAGCAGTAGCGCCACACCGAGCACATTGATGGCCACTGACATTATTGTTTCTTCATTGGACGTTCCACGATTGATACGCTTGAATGGAATTCACATTTTTCAAGATGATACCGGAGGTAATAAACAGTAATTGGTGTCATTGGTGTCCCGACCTAAAGCTGCCACCTTGACGTGGTGGTCGGGCTTGAGTGCTGCAACGATCCCGCGGGCTACACTGGCTGGAACTTCGTTCCACAAGGTGCAACCATGCCAGGAAGGCCAAAGGGGAGCGGCAAGACCATGAGCAGCGAGACCCCGTACTACGAGTAATCGTGCTACGAGGCGGTCTGGGGGTAAAGTCGTACTGTCCTCTGTGACAGGAGTGTGAAGGCAGTAAGGTGTTTCCTCCAGGCGACCAGCATGTCCATATTTATGGAAAGAAGTGATGCTACCTTCCCCCGAGGAAGGACGGGTTAGAAAAGGTCTGCCCCAAAAACCTCACATTCCGATCCCCCAACGGTTGACCGTGACCGCCGGCCAATTATCCAATACGCTCGAAATACTTTTGAAACCAAAGAGCCTGGTGCTGCTCAAAAGGCACCTGCTGTGCGCAGCCGCATCAGGAATGAGACAGTAATGCCTTAT